TAAAGTTCGATATCTTTTCCAATCACTTACAACTTTTAATATAATGCAAGTTAATAACAATCAACACTAGTCAACAGAAATAAATATCGATATGTTCGTTGCCTCCCTGCAACTGATCTTTCAGCTATCAGTAGTACACAAATTGCCATATCATGGGAGCAAAATACTTGAAGAATTATTGCCAACTGATACTGCTTGGTCAACTAAAGATTCTGATCAACTCTAGGGTAGATTAGGTTCAAATAACATCTATCCAACATTACAAAAGCATCTACCATGTTTAAGTTAAGATGGGTGTCAAATAATATTTTATGGTTACTTGGGATCAGAAATCCAGTACTCTTCTAGTTGATACAAATATAAAAAGGCTGCCGTTATATGATGTATTATAAATGCAAATCTTCTTTATTAAGAGATTTTTCATTCAGATACAAAGCCAACATGATTGTAGGTCAAGTCATGTTAAAGATAAACCTAGACAGAGACCCTATGGTTCAAAAAGACTGCTTCTTGGAGGGTTGCAAGAATGGCCACTGTACTTCAATATTTCCCACATGCCATCTATTATAAATTAAATAAAGGGATCCAATGGGTTCAATGATTTTAAAAGGCGCTCGGGCGAGGCGAGGCGAGGCCCGAGCGCCTCGCTAATCTCCCAGGCGGTGCGCTTCAAATAGGCGCTCGCCCAAGCCCAGGCGCTGGGCGCTTCGAGCGAGCACCTGGGTTAACCAAGGCGACCAAACCAGGATTTTAGGTCTGGTTCGATCCTGGTTCGGTCTATGATGGTTAGTTGGTTCAATCGAACTAACTAAAACTGATATAAGTGACAACCGAACCCTAACCCTCGCCGCTGCCGATCCCGATCCCGATCCCGCTGCTCGCCGCTATCGTTGCTCGCAAACGCTGTCGCTACTCGCAAACGCTGCCGCTGTCACCGCTCACGCCTCCCGCTGCTCGCCACTCCTGCTCCAGCTCCCGCTGCTCACCGCTATCGCCGCTGCCACTTTCTCTTTTCTCAGTCAGCAGGCTCAGCACCCCTTTACACTTCCTTTTAACAGTATATGTATACTGTATACTGTTAATATTATTAAGTTTATTTGAAATGATTAATTTTCAATACTGTTAATAGATTAATAATATATTATTTTGATTTTAAAACTGTTAATTTCCTGATGTTTTGGTCTATTCTGAGTCATCAGTGAGCCTTAGAACAACTTACCATGTCTATCTACCTTTTTCCTATTATCAACTGGTGTTAGCTTTCCTTTTGTTATCCTTTTGCTTCGTCTTCTCGTCGATGATGGAGCTCCACATGTATGATTCACCTTACGTGCTCCAACAACACGACATGAGTCCTCCAAGATATTTATCATAGGCATTTTGATAAAATCGATGGGGAGATAAAGAGGATGAAATACTCGATCATCCTTAAGTAGTTTTCAAACGAAAAATGAGATGGCGATTGCTCGATCGTCCTCAAGTTAGACGGTGGCTAACATTTTCAGAAAGATAAAAGAATAGTTATATTATTGGAAAAAAACTATTTATGGTCAAACAATCGATAATTTAAAATATATTAAAAATCAATAAAGACTTACATGATTTTATGCTTTCTCTCTTCCTACAATCAAATTCTTATCTTTGAATTATCTTTATTTAAGTACAAATTCTTTTGCATATCCTCTCGCATAAACCTCAAAAAATTTATATATTTTATCTAACCTTATTTAGATATTCTAGAAAGAAGCTCTAAAATATTTTCTACGGTAATCTTAATATACTTATCATTCCCAATATCACTTCCGTGTATAACATCAATAGTGATAGACTTTGATTATACCATTGATGCTCCTTATCTCACTTTCAGATTTGAGTATATATATATATATGTATATATATATACATGTATATGTATATATACATATACATATACATATACATGTATATATATATACATGTATATATATAGATATACATGTATATATATACATGTATATATATATATACATGTATATATATATATATACATATATATATATATATATACATATACATATATTTATATATAATATTTTTTTTTAACCAACACATAATTATTATTTTGTCTTTCCCTAAATTTATCAAGGGTTATTGTAATAGTGAACCTCTTGTTTATTCTTCAATCATTCCCTAATAACACAACGTCTCATTTTGTATAAGTTTAAAGATATAATTACTTAAACTATAAAATAAATCTAGTTAAATAAATCCATGAGTCCGAATTAGTTAGTGTTAATACCAAGGTTTTTAATTTCGAACAATATCATCCGTACCAAGCGATACGTACAAGTCTGCTAGATGGACCTCCCGCTACCGAGCAGTATCGTCAATCAACACCGTCTCCATACTTTGTCGATGACTTCTCATTTGTGTAGGGAGAAGAGAGACGACGTCGCCTCAATGAAAATAATTATATATATATATATATATATATATATATATATACATCGAGCGATATATCGAAATATACTGCTCGATATATAATATCGTACCGTACCGAGCGAATCTCGAAACTCTAATATGATATGAAATTTCAATCCTTGGTTAATACTTTATCCTTATAACTTATATGATTAGGGTTTGAACCCTCATTTTTTATTTTTGTTTCTCGATATTAATAAATCATAACTTTGTTCTTAATTTATGACTTAGGGAATTAAAATTCTATTTCTATATACATTACTTTATCTTATCTTTACAACAACCGATAGATCTTATGATTTGGAAATACTTTTATAATTTCTTTACAATCTGAATGGCCAAATTTCAGTGGATTCACAAAGTTATCTCTCTAAGCATACCATATAAAACACATTAATTTCAATCCTTGAAGGAGAGTGCTTTTTTATCATTCTAATTAAATTGTGACCCAAGGGTATTATAGGAACACATTTAAGCATGAACACTGCTGACTATCAAAAAGAAGGAACAAAGTCCACATGGGAAAAACCTATTTGATAAATTTATATTTGTTACAAAGTTAAATGTGGATATCCTTGGTTGGTATCTACGTATGGTATGCATGATTTCTGAGCTAAAGAACCAGAGTATATTGTATAGATAGAATATCAAGGATTAAATGATGGCCCTATTAGGCAGAAAAGAAAAGGATCCATGTAGTATACCCTAAATAGTTGGGAAATTACAGATTTGTTTTTGTTGAAATGCTGGCACTGTTAGGATCATGATTCTGTGGGCTCTCATATAGAGTAATTGAAATGAAAATTCTTAGTTCAAGAGGTTCTTGGAACTAAAACAGAGGATCTGAACCACAACTTGATTTCAGTGGGTGCTTCATTACTAGATGATAGCATGCCATAAGCCATTGCATTCAGAATAGGGAGAGAAATGATACTGAATGCAATTTCCTCTCCATCTCCCCTTCCTGTAGAAGCCAATTTTTCCACAGACACTCCTATTTGTTATCCAAAGTGTGAACACCCTTCTTAGTATGAGTTTCCTTTTTTCTTCAAGTTTTAAGCACCATAAACAAATAAAGTTAGCATGGGTTTCAGTGAGTGGGTTCTCAATAGGGAATTGCTAAATCAATCCACCTTCACTTTAAGCTTCCAGGCTTATTTCATTTATGTTCTTTGTGATATTTGCATGGATTTTTTTTTTTTTTTTTTATGAAGAGTGCAAATTAAAATTCAGAAAAGTTTCCACCTTACTAGAATTGTCAAAATATCTTAATTTATTTTTTGTGTTGGCCAGAATTGCTGAAACTTGATATCTTCTGAAATCATATATGTCAATCTTTCTTTTCCAATTCTCTTTAGTTCAAAACTTCAAATCACTTTTAGACTCAAATATTTACATTTTGCGCGTTCACACTCACTGTGACTTACTATTTTCTTTTCCTGTGTGCCAACCAAAAATGAAAAATCCAAACCAAATCCAAGAATCCTCACTCCTCATTTATAACTTTTCAGCAACTCTCCCTGTAATAACCATTCTCTCACCAGGCAATTGAAGGCCTTCACTGTTTGCTTGGTTGGATGACTCGTGCGCATGAACATCAAGCAAAATTTCAAGTATATCTGTTGTCCATGAGTCAAAATTTTAACACTCTTTAGTAGTGGTTTTTAGATATAGGCAGGTATGAAAATATTAGAAATTAAACATCTTGGTTTTTAATGTTTACCATAAACTTATCTTTGATTTTTCACATCCTTACAAGGTTATCAAATATAATTTATTAGAATTACTTTTCTCCTATTTTCCTGAAACTCATTTTCATCTCCATGCTGACCCAGACACTTAGGTGAATATCCACATCTGATTCAGTCATCCATATTTTGAGTGAATAAATAATGGGATCAAACTAGATAGCACCTATTTTTCCATTTGCTATAAAGCATGCACTTGCAGTATGTGACTTCATCCTTAGGAGTCCAACAGATGAAGAAGAAATAATCAGACTAAAAAACAAACAGCATTGCACACAGAACATGCTTTGACCTAGGAGTCCATCTGTGTCCCATATTGTTGCTGGCCTTATATGGGAATCTAATTTGTGTCTAAACTGCATCACAACGGTCTGAAGCAAATATTTCTGATAGCATGACATGTGCCCTGGTATCATAGATTAGGAAGATGTAACTTCTAGGAAATTACCTAGTTCAAAGTAAGGTGCCTTTAGCATCAATAGAACTTGTCATGTAGATGTGCTAGTCTTCATTGATACTTGCAGGATATCATAATTATTAAACCTGGAGATACTAATTTATAAGTTGAGAATGTAACACCTGGATCTAGCTAAAAGGGAACTAAGAATATGTGTACTATGTGGGAATATGAAGATGAACAGAGGAGGAAAAAGATCAAAAAATATTAATCAGAAGGCCTTCTCTCATCATATTGACAGGGCACTCAGCTGACTTATACATTCTCCATTGTCTAAAGCTAACAATACAGTGGATAAAGAACAAATTATGAGAATGAGGTAAGAGAAGGGTCAATGACAAAAGTGAAAAACCAGTTGGTATTCAGGTATCCTCCATTGTTATGATCTCACTACAAAAACTACAGCTTTCAAAAATAATAGCTAGAATGTCTACCAATCATTAAACCAAAAAACAGACATTCTTTTCTTACTTACCAAGACCAACAGCCTGGAACTAATGATTCTGAGAAATGTTTCTGTGAGTCAATTGTGCCAATGCAAAATAAAGTCTGGCAACATCTATAAATCCAATTAATGCTTTGAGCAGTTCCTAATGAACACAACAAGCAAATTAGAATTTCTAGCAGGATGTATCAATATATATGTGTGTAAGTTTATGAAATTAAAATGCTCTAATTTTAGACATTCTAAAAGACAGGAGAAAGCACCTGATAAGGATCAAAGTTATCATTCTCTGGTACTTTAAGAAATGTTGCTAGGCAAATAAGCTGCATGTGAACTATGATGAGGTTAGCGTAGGGAAAAACTAATCGCAAGTAAAGTGACATGCCTAACCAGAACATTCTGAGGGAAAATTTAATTCAAATAAATTGGTATAGAGAGAAAATAACCATAAGACAAGGAAAATGAAATTTAAAAATACAACTTTTTTTTTATAAATGAATAAGTATGCATACAGCTCACCCAAGAGTAAAATAGTACACAGTCAGAAAGCATAATTGCACATTGAATGGTCTACAGTGTAAAATGGAGAAAAAAATAAAAACAACATGCAATAAATCTAAATGAGATACAATGACTCGTTAATAGAGGAAATTTTGACAAAACAATGCAATAGTTCCACTGTGTAAGGTTTCTTGCGAGAAAAGAAAGATAAAGAGGTCCACTGCAATTTTCTCAAACAAGAAGAATAAGAAAAGAAGGGCAAAAAGTAGAAGGGATATTCGCCTAAGAGCCAAACTAGTATGTTTATTCATGGTCTCTACAGTATCTGTATTTGAAGAAATGATGCAGATTGTTAATATCAAAGTTTTGAAGAGAAGAGAATATTGTTCAGCTTGGAAGTTGACAGGATTAATTTGTTCTCACTCAAAAAATATGTGGACAATCAGATCAACAAGGAATACCAAAATAAATTGAAAAGTGTATAGCAAGTTCATTGAAACTATAATTTCACCAAAATAATGAAATAAAATTACTCTTTTTTGCAACATCAGCAATACCACCACACAGAAATTGTGTTCACAAACCTTTACCAATGCAGTTCCCAGATAAACTATAGCAGCTTTAACAGATGTTCCACCTGTATCATACTCTGACCTGTATGCCAAAACAGAATGAGATCCAAGATTTACAATAATGCATAAAATGTGTTATAATAATCATATAAAACACATGCAAACAAATGGATGAAAAGGAATGCATAACGGATGAGATACAAATATATGTTATAATAATCATAAAAAAACACAAAATGAGATACAAGAATTATGTTTAAAGACATTACCCTCGTCTCAAAAGCTAAACAAGAATTGCACAACAGATGCACCAACTTCCAGAAGAGACTCCAAAAATTAACTAACTTCCCATCTACTGATCATTGTCTTATAAATAATACATTGTTTGCCTAAAGAAGGGAAAGTTCATCTACTAATATGCCAGCACGAAGAGTATGGAGAGTCGAGCAAAAGAAATGTTATCGAATACTCTTCTTCAAGAAACATGAATCAACGCCATTGCCACAAGGAAACACCATAATGAGATCCGACCTGCATTCATTCACCTATCATTAACTCCACCAAGTAGCGAATATATCTGATCTGGCCACACAATTCGCAATGCGAACTTGACGACATTAGCATGATTACCAGATATATCTAAATATATCTATCAACCAAATCAAAGCAAGCAGAACCTAGGTTTCCGGTAATAGTCGCGTTCCAGTAATCTGGAACAAGGAGACACGAGAATCCTTCCATCGACGAGCGATAACGGGGAGATGAATCGGGGAAACAGATCAAAGTAAACGATGGATGAAGCGGGGTGTTGGGGCTTACAGAGGAGTGGCGGAGTAGTAGACGGCGTGCGGGCCGAAGGTGAGGATACCGCAGTTGAAGAGGTGGAACACCGTCATCGCCCTCTCTCCTCTCCTTCCTATGTCCCTTTCTCGCCGCTGCGTCACTGATGTGATGGCCTCCTTTGAGTAGCTCGTTTCAACGGCGATTTGAGAGATCAAGAGGAGAGAGAAGACGATCAGCTTCTTAATGGGCCGTAATCTGTTAAGAGCAACATTAAACCTTTGGAGTTGCATTCAGACCGGAAATTAAATTGAAGCTTTTTAGGGCCCATAATTTTAGCGGGCTTGAAATGTTTTTGGATTATTATTATTATTATTATTATTATTATTATTATTATTATTATTATTATTATTATTATTATTATTATTATATACAGATTTTGAAAATAAAATATTTATTATTACAGATTTTAATACAGAAAATACATCCCTTCAAATAAAAAGATACTCCAAGATAACTTCTAACCAACATTAACATTAATTTTTCAAAAAATTAAACGAATATATAAAATATCAAAACATAAGATATCTCTAGTTTTTTTTAAATTACCTTTGAAAATATCATTTTTGCTATTGGAAACCATTTACTTTATATAATCATCTAAAAAATAATAAAATATAATTATATTAAATGCAATCCTTCAATTACCAATTATAGTTTTTTTTATAACGTCTCAATTACCCTTACTTTATAAAACTCATTTCATTCATTGGTCAATAATCCTAGCGACAATGTCGGAACTCTAACAATGTCCTTTCTAACCATCTTCAATGATTAAAACGAAGAATTAAAATAAGAATTAAAGGAAAGAAAGGAAAGAAAAATGGTGATGATGAAATGAAGTGAAAGAGGGTTGGAATTAAATGATGAATTAAGAGTATTTATATTTATTTGTAAAGGGATATCTTATAAATATTATAAATTCTTAAAATGATATTGTAAATAACGAAAAAAAATTATCAATGCAAATCCATATTTTTTTTGACCTCATAACTCCATGGAAATTAAACATTAAGATACCATATCCATAAAAATTATAATTCCATATCTTTTTAACCTCATAAATTCATATGTTTCAGTAACTTTTGAAAGAATAAAAATCGAATACTAATGATAGTTAATTACAAGAGATAATATATAATTAATCAATTATACAACATTATCAAGCTTTTTAAGATCATCTTATCTTTATGGAATAGAGTTTTGAGTTTGAGTTCGATCGTTTGATGAAATGACAGATATCATATCCATTATCATCTCTAATCTTTCAGTGAAGCTACGATTAGCGACTAACTGTAGTTTGTGAAGATTAACAGCTTCGTCTACTTGATAGACCAATCAAAGAGACAAATTGATTGTTGGAAGAAACAAAGGGCCAAGACAAAAAGCCAATTTCCATTTCATTGATCTGATGATCTAATTAGTGTTCCAAAGTCCATTCAATCCTATGAAGGTGGTGGAAAAGACAGCGTTCTAGAATGCATGCAATGCTATCATAGAACAATATTTTAAGCAAAAGGTTGTGATCCAAAGTACGTCCAACTATGTCAGAGAACAATAATTAAGTACTTATCTGAAACAAAATGCGACGCTTAAGCAGGAAGAATAGACACATCATCTTGGAAGTATAATTAAACATAGTTTCAATATCATACAGGAACTGTTCCCGTTTAAGAGGACTGTTCCTCTCAAACATGCACTACATAAGGAACAATGCATCAAACCTTAGGCAAGTTGATGTATCAATAATTGGGTTAATTATAAATTAGTAAAAATATCATACGTGTTCAATGATAAATTGAAATAAGACAGAATCAACAAGTAATAAACCCTACAGTATATTCATCAGCAAAGTCAATAACATAAGAAAAAATAATATAAAATATTTTAATTTCATAAATATAAAGATCCTAATAATTTTTGAAAACATAACGAGCAAGATGTTAAAATAGCTAACTACAAAAGGATAATCTATAATTAATCTTGCTATTTAATTTAGTCTCATGAAGGATCACAATCGAGTGGATGAGACATTTAGAAAACTAAATGAATCATCATCAGGATATGTACATATACAGAAATCATTGTCACGTATCTTGCTGCAATAACACACCACCTGCATAAAAGTCTATGGTACCTATATTTAATATACACTGACATCAGACACCTTGAAGCACATGCAATTCTTCCACTAAAGTTCCAGATTGTAAATTGATTCCAGTCAGCTACTAATATTATACACCCTGATTTCCTTTGATTGATATGATAAGATCTGGTGTGGTTAGTTTAACAATTTGTGTACAAGATATTTTGCCAAGTCACACATATCAAAGACATGACAAGATTAATTTACTTGAACCTGATGATACCCCCTAACCTAGCAAGCCCTTCCACTTCATTTGGTTGAATGATCTCATCCTTGGTACTTAAAGTACACTGAGAAATAATTTAGGAAGGTGGCATGATATGACTTGACAACTAAGATTCAAATATCTCAAAAGCAAGGTTTTCTACTATTGTATAATGCAAAAAGAGTAACACAGATCACTTACCATAGATTGCCTGCATAAACTAGTACTACTGTCATTATCATAGATGAAGAGTATAAGCATTTATCTAAACCAGCATGCCACGTTTCAGAAGCACACACAGACACATAACAGCACTGATGTCACTCACTTGGAAGTATAACTAAACTATGTTTCCACAAGATATGCATATATATACATGATACTGCTTCCATTCAAGAGTTCTGTTTCCTCTCAAACATGCACTGTATAAGAAAATACTAAACCAGGCAACGTAGCAGTATAAATAACTATAATCTTCGCACATTAGTTTCATCATCTGAATCTAATGATACTAAGAAACTGTACTGCTGCAGGATGCACAGAGACATAGAAGCAATGCTGTCATCTGGATAACATCATATCCATTTTGAGTACTGTTTCCTTTCCAAAGTGCATGCACTCTGCAAGAAACTATATTAAACCTTAACCATTGAGTCATGGAAACAGGCCAGGTTGCACACTCTACAAGAATCAACATCAAAATATTGCATGTAGGTTTATAATCAAACAACTACTTTTGATCCTTTAGCTTAATCTTTCTGGGTCTTGTGAGGAACACATTAGTCAAAGACGCAAGTAGAGTGGAAAAAGATGATCTTAGAAGGCTATATAAGCTGCCAAATAGTATCATCATCACAAAGTAACATAAGAAAATCTTTGTCACATTCATTGCTGCAATATTAAAAATGCCATTGGCATGATATATATCTTCCAAAAAGTGAAACAATAATGAAACTGTTTCCCTAATCCCAGTCTAATAATGATAAGAAGAGCACAGTATGTTTTTGAGGGCAGTAAAATATGAAAGCATGTTTCAGGTGGACAGAAGAAAAGATAATAGTGCGTTATATATACAGCTGAGAGGGGTCGCCACTCAAAGTGGCGGTTGCTGATATGGTGCCTGTTTGCAACAAGAGGACTATAGGGTCGAGGAAGTAGAAGCTAACCATGTACCGAAATGTGGGTAAGCTGGCTCCCAAAAGCTCCCTCCTCGGCTACTGCGCACAAAGATGATGGTCTTATCCCGTTGCGAAGGTGACAATGGCACCATCAGACTTTGACATCCACAACAAGGACAAGCGACAAATGCTGCGCGACACAGAGGGGCAAATTATCGAACAGTGGATGCGCATATCTCGGACTCTTTTCTATCGAAAGGTAGCAGGTAAGCACGGCGTCCCTGTCGCGTACCTCAATTCGATCAGACGCATCTGGGCGATTGCAACGACACTGCCTCCGATCACGAAGCTATCGGCTGCAATTGGGGCATGCATCGTTGTCTCTGCCTACCAAAGTGATACGTGGCCGTGGAAAGCAAATAGCTCGCAGCGGTGAGGTGTGGTTGTAATAATCGAACGCGCCCCGTTATATGCTACTGTTACGTGGCGGGTCACTGGCGCTGTGGAATCCGCCGGCTGTAGATGACGACGACGGTGGTGGCTTTCGGGACGTCAAAACCTAGAAAAGAGGTGCACGTTACGAGTCATAGGCAGCAGTCTGGCTGGGCATTAGACCGCCACTGTTGAATCGCGATCATGGCGCTGTGTTCACTCATTGTTTCTGTGGTGTCCATTAAGTTATGATTGATATCTTTGGGAATAATTATGGTCTCAGGTTCACGATTTGGAATAGCAATTAGTAGAATGTTCGAGAATGTTATTTTTACCTCTTTTCGGATCTAATGGATTATTCAAATGTGGCCGATAAGTACATTGATGTAACTTAAGTGAGTTGGATAGCTGCAAGTTTCCAAAAAACAAAAGAAAAAAAATTAACCTGTTGGATGAATGACGAAAAGATGAAAGTAAAATATTTTGATTTTTGATTTTGAGATGGAATCTCACTTTCATCATTTATTATTTATATAAAAATTTAAAAAAATTATTATGAGAAAAATAATTATGATATGAAAGACGATGATGAAAGAAAAATTGATGATAAGAAAAAAAAGGATAGATGACCGAAGAAGAAAGATGAGCACGAGAGATGAAGACGAGTATTAATCCTAGAATTTTACGATGATATGATAATTTTTTTACTAGTGGAACTATTTTGTGCCATTTTTTATCTTGAAAATGCAATGATTATCACCAAATTTCTTTTATGATGTAATTATTTTTTTAAGATGTGATATAATTATATTACATATAGAGAAAATTATGAGATAACATAATAATAATAATAATAGTTAGATGATTATGCTAAAGGAAGTGCAATCGGAAGGTATGTTTTATATAACAACTGTTATATAACAAAATCATTGTCATTTTCCAATTAATTAAAATGGACAGTATTTTGAGTGATTTTTTCTTGTTATCTCTTGTCGTGTCATAGTAAAAGTAGTTAAGATAAGCTTATTTTTTTTATAAATATTTCATGTCAAGGTGTTGAAATAGTCAAATAGGATGCAATGAAAGCTTGTCTTTCCGATCTCATATCTTTCAAACACCATGGTAAGTTCTTAGTTGAATTAGCTTTGATAGGAAATATACTAATAGTCAATCATCATCTAATATATTAAAAAATATTTTAAATCACCCTTCATCTATTTATTCGTATAGATAAAAGTCTAAGATAGATTGTTTAGGATTGTTTCTCCTTTTGCTCGTAAGGATAAAAATATCGAAAGAGAACATCGAAGTGATTACTAATTATCCCCTTCAAAACTAGGTATAAGAACGAATCCCTGAAGCTTTTTTCTCGAAAAAAAATTCATACTTACTAAGAGACTTTAATCATTAACCTGAGCGTTAGAAGGATCGAGATGAAATTTTTTTCCTAATATCGACTTTGGTATAGATATCACCTCGAAGTTATTTCGAATTTTTATTACCTTTCAATCTTGAGATCATTTAACACTCATCTCCTCTAAAGACCTACAAAATCTTAATTTAGATTGTATACATCATCTTTTTCGAGATGGAAAGGATCTCTTTTGTCATTGAAGCATTCTTAGACTACACTCCATATGATACACATCTACCTAACGATTGTTAAAGATCTACGTGTTGTTTGCATTGTGAATTCGTGTTCGAAGGCTTTTACAAGTTAAACCGTGCCAGCAAATTGCCTTCCCCCCCACTTTTCTACCCTTTTTCTTTTTCTTTTTCTTTTTCTTTTTTGTTCTTTTAATCCAAATTGATTGAGCGGTGGGCTAAAGTAAACACGCGTCACCAAAGCATCAAATTACGGCTTTAATTCAACGCTTGGTCCGACCAATAGAAGCCGAACGCGTCGTCCTTCGAAGTAAAAGCTAAAAACGCAGGGTTCCACGGAGGACCTTCTCACCGAAAGCGTGAAGCCAAAATTGTGTTTCGTGTCTTGGGCGAGACATGGGTCCGCGTGTTTCCCCCTTTAACAAGCGGTTCCGCTCCCGCAGTTTACCGAACGAAACGTTCCGTACATCTTGGAGTCACGTTTATCCACGTGGCGTCGCCTGGTTCTTTTCCGGCCCCTATTTATACGCCATCCGCGGCCTTTGGGTTTCGATCGTAGCAAAGCCTCCACCGTAGTCTCTCGCACACACTTTCAGGTTTCAATTATGACGGACAGAGAGGATGGCACGGCAAGCCCACCGCGCAACTCCAACCTGTTCGACCTTCTCCAGACCGATACCACGTTCCAATCTGAGGACGAGCAACCCCGTGGCAGACGCAGTGGCCGCGGCCTGGGCTCCTCCTCCGCCAGCCTCGGCTACGACTCCGACTGCAACTCGGCCAGCGCCCGGAGCTCACCTTACGACCTGTCCCCATGGAACTCGGCGGCCGCCTCCCCCTTCGCCAAGTCACCTTGGGCCTACCTCCCCGTCCTCTCCGACGACGCAGCTGACCCCGACGCCACCGGCCTCGTTGGGTCGCTCGTCCGCGAGGAGGGCCATGTCTACTCCCTCGCCACCGCCGGGGACCTCCTCTACACCGGGTCCGATAGCAGGAACATCCGCGTCTGGAAGGGCCAACATGAGCTGTCGGGCTTCAAGTCCTGCAGCGGCCTCGTCAAGGCTATTGTGGTCGCCGGCGACACGATCTTCACTGGCCATCAGGACGGCAAGATTCGTGTCTGGAAGACTTTCGCGAAGAACCCCGTGGTCCACAAGCGCGTGGGGACGCTCCCAAAGCTCAAGGACTTCTTGAAGAGCTCCGTCAACCCATCTAACTACGTCCAGGTGCGGCGGCACCGCAAGACAGTGTGGCTTCGGCATTTCGATGCGATTTCCTGTCTCAGCCTCGACGAGGAGGCCGGGATTCTGTACTCTGGGTCTTGGGATAGGACGGTTAAGGTGTGGAGGGTATCGGACTCCAAGTGCCTCGAGTCCATCAAGGCGCACGACGATGCAGTCAACGCGGTGGCGACCGGATTCGGTGGATTTTTGTTCACGGGATCGGCGGAAGGCACGGTTAAGGTGTGGCATAGGGAGGCGGCAGGGAAAGTGGGTGCCACGAAGCACGTTCTTGTGCAGAGGTTGCTGCAGCAGGAGAGCGCGGTGACGTCTGTGGCCGTGGCGGAGGTTGCTGGGGTGGTGTACTGCGGATCGTCGGACGGGACGATTAACTACTGGTGGTGGGAGAGCGGGCAGTGGCAGCTGGCGCACGGCGGGGTGCTCCGTGGGCACCGGATGGCGGTGCTGTGCCTCGCGGCAACCGGGAGACTGGTGGTGAGCGGATCCGCGGACAAGACACTCTGCGTGTGGCGGAGGGAGGAGGGTGACGGCTCCGTCGGAGGCCCAGGCCACACCAAGCTAGCGGTGCTCGCGGGCCACGAGGGGCCGATCAAGTGCCTGGTCGTGGAGAAGGAAGACGGCGAGGCCGGCGGGGCCTGCGGTTGTCCCCGCTACGTGGTGTACAGCGGCAGCCTCGATAATTCGGTGAAGGTATGGCGCGTGCCGGAGCAAGGTGCGACGCCGTCGCCTCCGCGCGCGCGGCGCGTGGAGGCGCAGCCGCCGCAGAGCGAGAGCGAGGGCGCGAAGCTGATGGAGTTGGGCTCGCACGTGGGACAAGACTTTAGCGTGCCGGCCGCTGCGTGAGCGGACGCGCGCGCGGAGGCGCAGCCGCCGCAGAGCGAGAGCGAGGGCGCGAAGCTGATGGAGTTGGGCTCGCACGTGGGACAAGACTTTAGCGTGCCGGCCGCTGCGTGAGCGGACGTGCGGAGAGGCACCCCCTGTTTCATGTACGTATTTGTTCCGATCTTGGAAAGCATGTCTTTATGAGTGTGTGTGTGTGTGTATGAGAGTCCGTGTTGTTGAATACGTCGTGGGGATTAGATACTGCCGAGGAAGCACCACAGCAAGAAGTAATAATTCAGTGGCAAGTGCGTAAAATTAGGAATCCTTTTGTGAACCAAAATAGAATGTTACATGATTTCTTCTGAGTTTATGTTTGTGTGAAGTTGTCGATTAATATGTGCATGATATCAATTATATCCGTGGATACGATACATGTGGAGATCCAATCTTAAAGTGTTCCTATCACTCTATTAGATTGAATAAATCTTGATTAAATTGATTATAATTTAATTAAAAATTATTTGATTTAATTAAATGAAACGAGACATCTCATAATTCAATAACAATAATTTTGTGTCACGAGCTACGTGCACTTAATCATTAATGATAGATGATGACGACCTTTGTATTTTTCTCTTTTTTGATTTTTCCTTTTCTTATCACATACTCTCTTCTCTTGTCTATCTCCTTTTGACTTCTCCTTTGTCGTAGTACCCCTCACTCCTCATCATAGTCACCTCTATTATCTTCTCATAATCTTGTCTTGTTGATCATTGCAACTCTCGCCTCTCCCTCTATGATTTTTTCTAATCCTCTTCATCTTCCCCCAATCTCTCCTTCTGTTTATAATATTTTTAAATATATTTAAATTTTATTATATATAAATTATAGTATTATTAATTATATTTGATATTTTTTATTTTTAATTAAAAATTAATTAGAATAATATGAAGAATATATAGATACTTCACTATTAATGGGGATTCCCAATCCCTACCCTCACCCCATCTAAATGGGGAATGAAATGAGGATGGAGACTTATCTTATCTCATTTACATCAATAATTATGTGTTGAGTTAATTTATTATTATCTTTGTGATTTGAACAGACTTATATAATATATGCTAATTTATTCATGATATATTCATGGAGAATTCAAAATTCTATGTAATAAAAAGCATGAAACATGACAATAAATGTGAATGCAAGCACATACAATATAGTGGATATGAATAAATAATGTAAACTGTTCTAAGCATTTAAAATAAAATATAATCCATTAGATATATAAGATTTATCTAATGGTATTAAGCAATAATGTCCTAAATGATGATAAAATATAATCATACTGGATCTAAAAATAAAATTTTAAAGGAATAAAAATGCAAATAATTAATTTTAGAGGTATATATATATATATATATATATAATTTATTTATATATAATCCTTGAATCATAACAATAATACAAAGAAACTACTATTACGGCAATGACAACAAAACCGGCCACCGATCGACCGAGAGCACGAGAATGCGTTTCTACCTTCTTTCCCGCGATCGAATGCCTCTCCGCCGTAGTCTTCCTTCCCCATCGCGCATCAGGCGATCTCATGCTTGTAGTGGTAGCCAGCGCTGTCGACCGGCAACGCCGGTTGGTTGGGTGTCGATCTCTTGGTTCTCTTGGTTGGGCGTCATTCCGGGCTGCATGAATTGTGTTCCCCGAAAAGCATGTCCTAATCCTCGCGCCGGAAATGACGCATGTGGTCTGGCGCCTGAGGGCGTTCTCGGTCTGCCTCTTGGAGTTCGCGGCTCTCTGTTCTGGTATAAGGTCTTCTCCTTTTAAGTTGTCCGAAAGGTGTTTGTGGAAATACAATAGATTTTTTTGTTCCCATCTTAATGATTGCTACATATTCTTGTGAAGGTGATCCATGGTTATGTCTAATACTTGGTGCTCTCTGTATGCTACTTGCTCCTCCATTGATGCATCTTTTGTGTGGGTTCATCTTTATCGTGGAAAGAAATTCGAATTTGACGCAGTCATATGGAAAAGAACCACTTAATTCCATAATGTTATTTGTTGAATTCTAACCAATAATCGTTGCAGTAACAAATATTGCCGTTTGGTTGGATAAACCTTGTTTCCACAAACAGTGCTGTGTTTTGCAGTTCGAACTTATGTAAGTTTTACAGGTTTCCTTTGATATGACAGATAGTGACCATCTTGCAGCTTATGAATCTTCTACTCATGATTGGATTCTTACCAGACAAGACTGCTGTTGTTAAGGTGATGGGAAGGAACTTGTCAATTCTTTTTCTTTTTGTTCAAAAAGAAAACACGTAAAAACAACAACAAAGAAAACATGTGCAATTGAATGCACCTCGTGCACCTAACAGAAGGCACTGTTGCCAAAATCTTATTTGGTTTCCTTTCAAATTATTATGGCTTTCGGATCTCAAGATTTATCCAATCATACTTTTTCAGATATGGCATAACAGTTGAACCTGCAAAAAGAGAAAGGGCAGACTTTATGTCATGCATTTTGAAAGAAACATGGTAATCTTCTTTCAAGTTTGAATTCTCATAGAATAAGAATAACTATAATGTGCATAAATTAGCTTTATCTTTACAATTATCTGTTTTTTTCCTGGTATTAGTCATGTTTCCCTTCATGTTTGCTTTTATGATATTAATGTACGTTTTTTTATACATGGTTGCCATGTTTGTGTGAACTACAAGTTTAGGGTTTAAGAGAGCTTGAGTTGTACGATCCAACTCAAAATAATGAGAATATCTTAATGAGATAGCTGAAGGAAATTTTGTTAAAGAACATGAGCTGAATTTTGAAGATGAATCAGCTTACATGGACTATTACCCTGGTCTCCAGTTTGCTGCTTTGTTTTCTTTCTACAAGGTAGTCCTTTGATTTACTCTAATAAAGATTTTTCACCCAAACTTAGAACTACTTGTAGTAGCTTGTTGTTGGAATATTGGAGGTACGTTTAGAAATCATGCATTTGTGCTACTATTACGAGGGTGATGCCAGTGCATATGCATTTTAATTGGCTGATGTGGACTGCAAAAATCTAATGCTGACGCCAGAAGAATTATCTGTGATTTTGGACAAAACTCTAAAATATTTGGTTTCCTTTTCTTTTCTAGAGCTGATATTAGTCTTATTAGAGATGTTAGCACTTTTAGTTTGCTCCTTGTTGTCCTATGGTATTGTTATGGCTTATATTCACTACCAATAGTGAAAAACTTAAAAGTACATACAAAAAACATGTTTGAGGGATTTGTTCTGATTTGTTGATTTTAGGAAATATGTACAAGTTTCTCGGAATTTAAAAAGAATTTGCTACTTTTCGAGGAGTAGATTGAGGTTTGGAGGTGAGCACAAGAAGACGTCAACATCAGACTTCCATGAAGTGTAGGAAGCCTTGGAGTAGAGACACAGCCCAAGTGGTCCAGACTATGGAGATCTCCAAGCTGGTCATCATAGATAAATTGTGATCAAGTTAGATGGATCATTGCAGCAGTGAGAACAATTTGTGAACTGAGAGATAAAGCACAACTCAGCAAAGATCTTAACTCAGTGCCAATTACACACCTACCTGTATTGATTTCTTAGAATCTATGTAGTGTTCTCCAAACTCCCAGAGAACCTTAAAGCACCTATTCTAGCCCTCATTAGCTTCTGGCCCAGCTGAGAATTGCTCACCAAAAAAAGTAGACATTAATTAATTTGATAATATGGAAATGTGGTCACAGAAACAAATTGTTGAAAAGTATAAGTTAATTTGTAGCCCATAGGAGATACTAATTGTTGAAACAACCAATGCTAGGTGGACTCAGAACTGATAGATGTGGGAAACCAGGAAAAAGGAACATCTGCAGAACTGCTTATTCAAATTGGATCTGAATACATTGCTCAATAATTCTTCAAGCAAGTGATGCTGCCTCTTCAATATCAACCTGAATGCTAGCAAATGAGAAGAGATCAGTATGTGAAACCACAGTCAACGTGTTGAGGCCATTGTTAAAGGATACCTAATAAGTATCACTCAACATAACTCTGAAAGAGGCAGCTACAGAGAAGCAGAATCTCACTCTACATATGATTAGAATGAAGCTCTTACTAGCAAGCATCTAAAAAAATTGTCATGAAGATTTCAGATCCAGAAATCATGGTTCATGTTTTCACATCATATGTTTTGGCTTTATAGCTCCCCACCAATGCAAGAAAATCAAGGCATTTTTTATGATGTTCCACTGTCTTCAACTTCAGTGTGCTTTTGACCATGTCTTTGAAGTTTCTTATCCACATGCTTGATTTCTAGATTTTCATAGCAGATGGAGTTTTATGTGTCCATAAATGATAGATTATTCAGACCTCAAAGCGGAAATCATCTTCTGTTACCACCAAATTCAAAATAGAAAGAGTAGTTAATGATTCTCAGTCCAATATAAGTGGAAATTAAGTAAAAGCTGGGGTAGAAAATGATGACCACCAAATATACTTTCTAAAAAACCGAGAAACATGAGCAATATTTGTGTTTCTAATGTTAAAAATAATTAAAAACATAAACAGTGCCAAACATGCAATTGATTACTTAAGATTAGAATGAGTGTGTTCAATTGTTGTAAACTTGCATTCTCGGATTAGATTCTTCAAGGGTGTATGCTCCACCTCTTGGTATTCCTCTTTTTAGCCTGGATTCATCTGATTTATCTGGGTAAGATAAATGAGAAACATGTTTGGGTAACTATAATTATATACTAATGGTTTCTGTATCTATAATTAGTATGCATGCACTAGTGGCACAGAAAAGTCTTGTTAGTTATGCGCATTATGAATATGTGGACTTCCATCTAGCATAATTTATCTCACATTCTTATTATTATGTTAAATATGTGGAATTTTCTAATTCACAGGTCTTGATGATGATGATGATGGAGTTCAGTGGAATGGATCACGGTGTGCAGCCACTGGCAACATCCAATGCTGTGGACCAGTAAGTTTGTTTACAGCAATTTTTTCATCTAAAACTTAAGGATGATCTTCTCTTAAGCTTTCTTAGTGTTTGAGGAGGTTCCAATGCTGTTTATATTTTATCGAGAGATTATTTCCACATAAAGATGATCAACCTTATTTGTACCTTCTTTCAACCCTGGAATACTTCATGTTGACATTGCTACCCAGTCGCAGTATAAAAATACTCTGCAGAAGCTAGGTTTAGCTGTAGGGTGATTATGAAGAAGAATAGTAATCTTTGAGATCAATCATATTGTACATAAGCTAGATCTATCAAAACCATTAACATGTGCCATAATCAATCCCGATTTCTGTTTCTTTATTTTGTTGCCAATGCAATGTCCCTCAACTTTGTGTAGTATCAGTTCAGGAATCAATGATTATGACTCAACTTTGGCCTCTACTACTCTGACTGGAACTCTAGTAATTGGCTGTTCAAGACTTGGTCATCTTCTTGTTCATACTTGGCTGCAACAGTGAAGGATAGAGTAGAAACTATGGATGTTGTGGCATTACATTTAGACTAGTGCTTACATGTGTCATGCAGTTGAAGGATTAGATCAACTACACCCAACCGGGCTAGTGGTATGTATCTACGGTCGAATCGAGGGTTTGAATCATCGGCATGACAATTCATGTGCTCGTTGGCTCATTAATCTTCTTTTCTTTCCCTTTCTCTAGTGGCTGTATGTTTCTATTCTCTCTCTTCCTAACTACCATAGGTTTCACTAATAAGCTGGAGAGGCAAATTAAGCCAATTGAGATGTATTTTGCCTCTTTTCTTCTTTCCCAAAAGCTTTAAATTATTTCTATACTTTTTTCAGTATAAAGGATGCACATCAAGCAAATCAAGAGAACTGAACCAAAAAGGCATTATCCATCCACCAGAGCTTTCATTGTTAAGCTGAGGAAGTCATCATCTTGTTTCCAATTAAGAGGTTTTCCATTTGTATATATTTTGTTATATAAAATTTTCCAAGCATAAAATTTGAATACCTTGATTTGCTAACCATACAACCTTCCTGCGCAGGTGACAATTCGTGTAGCGACCCTATCTTAGTGGGCGAAGAAACAATGGATCTGTTCAAGGTTGACATCCTTTACACTAAATGCACACCCCCTTTGACCATTTGTCTGCACCCACCAAGTCATTCAATCCTACAGTCCGTCTTCGTTGCTTCGCCAACAACGAAGAAGAGAGAACCACAGACGCTTTATTCTTCCCAGTCTTCTTCTCCACTTTCAGTTTGCTTCTATCGACAGATAGAGAATGTCTTCGTCCCATCAAAACCCTGTTTTCTTCTTCTTCCTCTTCTTTGAACTTGTCTTCTTCTGTGCCGCTACAAGAGCTTCTGGATGCAACCAGACGTGCGGCTCCGCTACTGTCTCCTACCCCTTCGGCTTCTCCGATGGATGCGGAATCCGGCTGAACTGCTCCGCCGCCGGGGAGATGCAACTCAGCGGACACCGGATCAGGGTCATCACACATGAAACCATCATCTTGGACGTGCAGCCGGTCTGCGACCGATCCATCCTCGCTGTCGAAGGGCTCTTCCGGAGCCACTACGCCATGACGTCGAGCAACACGCTGTTCCTGCGGAACTGCAGCTCGCAGAGGGACTTCGGGTGCATCATCTCCACCGAGAAAATGTCCCGGCGTCTCAACGTGACAAGTTGCGGGCTGCAGGGCGACGACACCATCTGCTACTCCAGCAGGAAAACGGGCGGGTTCCTCTCCTGGGAGGAGCTTACGGAGGCCACCGCCGGGTGCGAGTTCATGTTCGCGTCGGCGAGGTACGGGGGAGACACCTTCAGCAAGCCGTCGCTCGTGTTCGGAGAGGCCGAGACCGGGTGGTGGCTCAACGGAGAGTGCCGATGCGCGACAAACGCCAACTGCAAGCGCCTCGACACGCCGGTCTCCGGGGGGAGTACGGGCTTCCGTTGCAGCTGCCACGAGGGGTTCGTCGGGGACGGCTTCGCCGACGGCGCAGGTTGCGCGAGAGGTCAGTCCTGCGTCTTCTCTTCTATTAATCACCACTTCCATTGCATGCTGTTTCACTTACGGTGATCAAAATCTAGAGAGAGAGAGAGAGAGAGCTTGAAAATTTTATTCTAGCATTCATATGATAATAAAATAGATACTATCAATCTAATTAAAGATATTGCATTACAAATCCAATATTGGAAAAATAAATCATACTGTAGTAATTTAAAAATAGGACATTACAACCTCTTCTTAATATCGTTGCTGTGATTCTTGAAATCATATGGAATTTAGCAAAAAATACTTTGTCTAAGTCGGATTATGTTTTCTAAAACTTGGAAGTGTGATTTGGTGAACGTTAAGATATCTTCTAATTGGGGATTAAGGACGACATGGTTCGGTCATATAGATCAGTCTGACCAGAAATGAAATGGATTAGCATAATTAACGAAGAGATGTGTTCAAATTTTTACTGTCACTTCTTTAGTTAGTCAATATAGTTTAGATGAGGTAGGCCAATAACCATATTAGAATAACCCAAATTATGAATGAAAATGTGAGAGTCGATTTCATCTTTAGTGAACCTTATAAGTTGTCAAACAAACAAAGAAGTGGATGTAATGCTTGTTATGATTCACAACATGTGGAAATTGTCTCAGAAGAAAGGTTGTGTTTCATTGGTCCATTATGATTGGAACCATCTTATAGTTTTTGGTTGACATGGAGTTCTTATGACTTCTGAGAGGCCAACTTATACTGCCCATCTGTACCCATTAATGGCCTACCTTTGTTCCTCTTAAATGACTCATCATTCTTCTCATTATTCATTCTTTAGCAATATAAGCTAAACATCAGTTTTTCCTTCTTTTTTTTGTGCAGTACAAAATTGCAGGTCTTTAAGCTCCATTTCAGGCGATTGCTGGAGCGGCTCCAAAGTTGGAGCTTTTCTTGGAGGTATTATGTTTCTTCCGTTGGTGCTTCATAAAGAACATGATGAAATGATCAACAGTATTAACTTAGCTGTAATATATAAGCAAAAAATTTCAAGTTATAAAATACAAAAAAAATAATGACTAAGCACAATTAACAATTAAATTATGCTGAAGGTTATCAAGGGTCGAAAAAAGAAAACTATATAGTTAGATTAGTGTTTGGGAAAGTTTTAAATAACAATTTAAAATGATGCATATGTTCATTCAATGATTTCTAAATGTTTTTGTGATGTAGATCATGTTCAATGAAATTGATCTTTGATTAGGTGTCTTTATTATAGAATTAAGGCTTCAGCCCTTTAGATAGATAAAATTAACGGTAACTTCCACATAAAAAGCCAATTTTTTTTATTTCAATCATTTTTATCAAATTAATTTCCACTTGTCTTCTCACAGGCGTCCTTGCCGCAGTCTCTCTGATGCTTGGCGTGGCATTCTTCCGCGAGTACATCCGACGCCTGTCCACCGCCTCCAGAGGGAAGCAAATCACCCGACGCCTTCTCTCTCAAACATCCTGCACCGTCGCCACCTTCTCCCTCAAGAACGTCGAACGCGCCACCAGCAACTTCGCCGGCACCTCCGTGCTCGGCGCCGGCGCCTACTCCACCGTGTACGTCGGAAAACTATCCAACGCCGGCCTCGTCGCCATCAAAAGGCTCAAACACGACGACGTCGACCTCATCATAAACGAGATCAAGCTCGTCTCCTCCGTCAGCCACCCCAACGTCGTCCGCCTGCTGGGCTGCTGCATCGAGAGCGGCGAGCACATCCTGGTGTATGAGTTCATGCCCAACGGCACTCTCTCCCAGCACCTCCGCCGGAAGCGAGGCGACGGCTTGTCGTGGCACGCTCGCGTCTCCATCGCGGCCGACGTCGCCACGGCCGTCGCGTACCTCCACACGGCCGTGCAACCGCCGATCTACCACCGTGACGTCAAGTCCAGCAACATTTTGTTGGATTACGACCTGAGACCGAAGCTGGCGGACTTCGGGCTCGCGACGCCCGCCATGGTGGAGTCATCCAACGCCTCGACTGTGCCGCAGGGGACGATGGGGTACGTCGACCCGCAGTGTCACTGTAACTTCCACCTCTCGGATAAGTGCGACGTGTACAGCTTCGGGGTGGTCCTGGTGGAGATGATAACGGCCATGAAGGTGGTGGACTTTGGTCGAGCAACGAGCGAAGTGAACCTGGCGGCGCTGGCGACGGACAGGATAGGGAAGGGGATGGTGGAGGACATCGTGGACCCGTTCATCAAAGGTGACTGGGATGATCGGACGAGGGCTTCGGTGCAGGAGGTGGCGGAGGTGGCGTTCCGGTGCCTCGCCTTCTACAGAGAGGCGAGACCGTCGATGGCGGAGGTGGCAGAAGAGCTGGAGAGGATTAGGATCGAGGACCGTCGGTCGGCCGTGGAGAAAGCACGATAGTGTTGGAACATTAAATTAAAATTGATAATTATATAAAAGATTAATAAAATTATATTTTTTTTAAGTTAAATTTAATAGCTTGGCTTTTCTCCTTCTATAAATATATAAATAGAGAGATTAAGAAAGATATAGAATAGAATACACAAGAGATTAATGTAGTGTCACAAAGCTGAGAAATCTGGATTTTGAGAGATTGGGAGATTTATGTCTAATTTATAGGTCTCATACTAATAAAAAAACATTTATATATTTTTATTATATTTATAATAATAACAATAAAAAAACATTTATATACTTTTCTTATATTTATAATAATAACAATAAAAAAACATAATGTCCCAATAATTTGATATTGGGTTTTGTTTCATTCAAAGAAAGTTGTGACATTGAGGCCTACTTATAGAAATTGGAGATAAAATCAAATTGGCCGAGTCTGGTCCTAAGTGGATTTGCTAATAGGTCAAATTCGACCTTGCAAGGAAGAAAGACTTTGAGATGTGTTGAAGCAAAAAGTTAATCCAAAGTGAGACCTCCAATAATAGCTTTTACCAAAGAAACTGAATAGGAGTAAAAATTTAAAAACTAATCGATTGATAAGGACTAATTACATATTATCTTATATAGTTAATTTTTTTTATATTAAATTTTTTATAGTTATAAAAGTGAAACATTTAATCTTATTTACTATAATATCATCGATTTTATCGAAGACAAATATAGGACGTGACAACACTATGTATGAATGGCACAAAAACGATGGACAAAAAGATAATTTTAATGATAATGATGAGTTAACTATACTTTAGCCCATGTAGTTAGACATCTTTAGTATATTAGTTCACAGGCTTCAAAAATTTATATTGAACTCTCTATAGTCATGAAAGTAATGTTAGGATCGAGAGCACTAAGAGGGGGGGGGGTGAATTAGTGCAGCGGATA